GGAGAGTCGGATGACAGAGCAGTTAATGAATGAATGAATGGCCTGCAATATTCATTTGTTTTGGCCATTAACAAGGGGCCCGAAAGAAATCAGGCAAAGTATGTGCTTTAAGCCCGAAGCTAAGCCGGAAAAGTTTTTCCCCGAAAAAAAGAATGCGATGGGAGTGGGATTCTACCGGCGACATGCAATGAATATCAACAGATTTTTATGAGCCACACATGTTTAGGTCTCTCAGTGTCTCTTTCTATTCCCCTCCAGCCATCTCTTTCTGGCCTTCTTTCTGGATTTTCCTTTGCTTTTTCCACCCTCTGCCGAAGAAGTAGCGAATCCCCCGACTGTCCATGACAGAGATAATGATTAGTGTGATGTGCATAATAATCATTCTCATATTCCACGATTAGTTTCCAATTCATATGCGTCTGCCTCCCTTCCCTCTCTTTCTTTCCTTTCCATCCCTCTCACTCTAACTCACTCACACTGTCTGTGCCATCTCTTTCGCCTTCTTGGTCACTTTTCCACCTTGTGTGCGTCTTGAGACTCAAGTACAGGAAAAAATCCTTAAAGCAAACACCGAAAAAAACCTTTTACAAAAATCAGATGACTTATCTTTCAGCTGGACTTCATTGAAATTCTAGAGTCCATAAATTTACCAAATTGAATCCGATTCCAAAGTGGCTTACCTCTAAAGACTCGTGATTCGATTCTCTAAAAAACTGCATTCAAAGTTTTCAATTTAACGTTGATCAAAATTTTGAACAATTTTCATGTTAGTTATTTCTAATTTTCCGATGTCTTGTAATACAGTCACTCAAAATTGGACTTCTAGAGTCCATAACACTACCAAATTTAATCCGATTCTAAAGTGGCAAACCTCTAAAGATTTGTGATTCGATTCTCAGAAAATCTGCATTCAAAATTTTCAATTTGACGCTTATAAAAATTTTGACCCATTTTCATGTTAGTTATTTCTAATTTTCCGATGTCTTGTAATAGAGTGATCCAAAATTGGACTTCTAGAGTCCATAACTTTACCAAATTTAATCCGATTCCAAAGTGGCATACCTTTTAAGATTTGTGATTCGATTCTCTGAAAATCTGCATTCAAAATTTTCAATTTAACGTTTATAAAAATTTTGACCCATTTTCATGTTAGCTATTTCTAATTTTCCGATGTCTTGTAATAGAGTGACCCAAAATTGGACTTCTAGAGTCCATAACTTCTCCAAATTTAATCCGATTTCAAAGTGGCATACCTTTAAAGACTTGTGATTCGATGCTCTGAAAATCTGCATTCAAAATTTTTAATTTAACGTGGATCAAATGTTTGACCCATTTTCATGTTAGTTATTATGCAAAAATCGGTCAAAATATAATTTTTTTCAATTCAATTTTGAATCTATAGCTTAGGTTCCTAGCCCGGGAAAACAAACAAATAAACTTGTATAGTTAAGTTTCACTAGAAATCAAAAATCACTTATATAACGTTAAGACCCTTAATGATCCCAAAACGTGGTTTGAGATGCCTTAGCTTCACTGTACCACGTTCCAGCCTTTTGTTTTTGTTATTTGTCGGCGGGGTAACCGGCAGCAGAAATATTACCACGTAAATTATTAATCAGCCGAATGGGCCACCCCCGCCATCCGAAAAGCCGGCGTAGCATAAGTTTCCGTCGATTTGTCTGTTACTTAACATGCATAAAATGTTTCCATGAATACATCAAAATATTTTCGCTTTGGCAGCAGCAAAAGCAACAGCAACAGCCAGGAGAAGCTGAAGCATTAACCATGGCCCCCAACCTGCTGGTTTTGGCCATTGGCTTAAGCTGGAAAGTGTCGTCTTGTCTGCTTGGCGATTCCGACTGCGAGCGCATATTGTGCCTGTTTTTTGAGCAATTTGCTTTGTGATTTTATGCACTTTATGATTTCCTTAATGGCACAGTCGGTCGCCAGTTGCCAGTTGCCAGTTGAGTAGGTGGCTTCTCGAGGTCTGTATCTCTGAGATACGTACTTAAAGTGCTGTTATTGATGGCCAATACGGACAAGCGCCTCGTTGGAGTCAGAGATTGGTAGTTGGGTTAAAAACAGTTTTATTTGCTTAGAGTTTAAAAGCTTATTTTCCAAGAAAATTATTGCATTCTTTAAGATAACGTGTGTATAAAGAATACAACTTAATAATGATTTAAAAATGAGTATAAGCTTGTTGTTTATAGTTTAGTTTATATATTTAGCTTATATATTTCTCATTTTAAAATCACATTTCTAAAAATTAATTATTTATAGTTAAATGTATTTCAGTCTCTTGGTATTATCCTTTGATCCTGCTTAAATTTTTAAATAATTTTGAATCTGAGAAAAGGGAGGTACATATATACTAAGGATATGATATAATAAATGACATTCCTTTTTCTTGACTTGAGAACTTTCCGAACTCCGTTAAAGTTCCTTATTTCTTGCAAGGAAAAGTGTTGACGTATTTCGTTCCGGATCAACTGTTTCATCAAATCCGGAAGGTCCCCAAACTGCACTTAATCTGCAAGTCTGCCGCCATAATTGTTTCTTCCTAAACTCCAGAGAGTGCTCAATGCAGGCCCCAAAGGTGGGCAGCCACAGACACACCTGTAATTAAGGCCAGGTGGACTTTCGAGCCCTACAAGTGCCCCGTGCACGGGCAAACACAGACCGACAAACATAAATTTCCATTACAATTGCACAAACGTCACATTAGACGCTATCAAAGCGCAATTTGCAGCGTCTACTAAATCAATAAGCCAAACTTGGCAACCTAACGGATACGAATACGAATACGAATACGAATTCGCATACGCATACGCACATTAGCATGCACATGTGTGTTTGGGCCAAGAGCACTTTGCATGCAAACCTACCAGCAACCATAATAAATTGTAACGCGCTTTACATTAACATTTACATAATCGCAATTAATCGACAACATTTCGGGCCGTATGCGTTGGAGATCCAGCTCGAATCCCGTCGCCAGTTTATGCTCCAATCAATATTAATAACCATTGCATTGGGCCCCCATTTTGTACGCCCATTTATGCCCCCCGCCCCTCTTAGCCCACCGATAATGGACAATTTGGCGCGACGACTGCTGCTCCTAACTTGGCCCGAACTTCGGGTAGAGCTTTTGGTGGCATAAACTGTGCCATTTACGGATTTGTGTGACTTCCGCCAGCCGTCGGCAGTTGGAGTTCTCGGTTGCTGGGGATTGGGAACCGGGTACAGGGGATTGAACACTGAGAACTGGGAATCCGTTCTGAGAACTTAGAACTTAGAAGGGAGCCAAACGAAGAGCAAGATGTCAAATTGTCAACGCACCTTTGCCGCCCCCTAATCTCTATGCACACGTGTTTAAGTACAGGCCCACTTCCCTTAAACCAACATTCATAATAGTAGTAAAGGTAAAACAAAGCAAAAATTGTGAGGTTATTCAGTTTTTTTTTTTACAATTTATGTTTATTTCGTAATTGTAGTATGTTTTGCTTGCCTTCTTATTTTTTTTTTAGGAAATGAGAAACTACGCTGTCTTTCAATTAATTTATTGGCAATAAAATATGGGACTACTCTGTATTTTTTTTTAGGAAGTAACATGAAGTTCCTTTTTCGGGCATTATAAAGTTTAAAAAATGTAAAATTAAAAATTTAAAAAAAATCAATAAAATTGAGTTTAAAGGAGACTTAAATAGTATTAAATTCCGTTCAAGGACCAATCCGAAAAATGAATTCTTAAAATTTTAGTTTGCCCGTTAGAATGTTGTTTATGAAAGTTCAATTTACATAATCTCGACTGTTGCTATGTTTTAGTGGGTGCCTTTGTGGGTGGCTATTGTTGCTAGTTTATTTGCAATTATGCCAGCTGCCTGCACATTACACGCTTGTCATAATTCTGCTGGCAGGCGTATACGCAATGTGATTGTCAATTATTGAAGCAATGTGGGGACCAGGAAGTGCATACATATTTCAGCAGGGCTTTTGGCCAGTTTTGGCTAATTAGCTAAATGATAGGAATTGATTGTCCTAGTCGGGATTAAATGTTATACCGGTTTCAGCTAACATAGCGGCTAATATCGTAAATGTATAACAGTTTTTATTTGGGCAGACACTACAAAACATTACCAAATATATTTTTACAAAATAAAATATTTGTATTTTATTTGATAAATTATATATTTGTATCATTATTTTTATTTAATCATTTTCATTCATTTTGCTTAAATTTCCGGTTTATAAGTTAAACAAACGCACTTTTTGAAAGAGAGTTTTTTTTAAGAGAAACGCTCTCTATGCTCTCTTAATAGATACTTCGTTAACAGTATCTCTTCGTTAAACGTTCTTCGTCGTTTGCTTAACATGGCTTCGTTAAGTTTTAACGGTGGCCGCGTTAGGTTTAACTGAAAATTATGTTGGCGCCAAAGCAAAGAGTTTTAGCTTAATAAAAATGAATTAACTCAATAAAATAGAGTGTTTTTAAATGAAATAAGTAAATATAAAACTAGTATTTTTATTTTCCTTAATACATTTCCGTATACATTTATTTAAATAAAAATTTGTATGTATTAATTATTTTGAATAGCATTAAAAACTAAATTGTTTAATTTAAAAAATCTAATTGTAATTTAGTTGGTTGTAATCATGATTAAAGCTATTACCAATGAAGCAGTTAATTTTTTATAGGTAGATTTTTTTATAGATTCTCTGTCAAAATTTCTGGTTGAATCGAATCCAAACAGTTTTAAAATGAACGTACTATAAAATTTGCATGAACAATAACAATAGATAATTGTTTGCCTTTTAAAAACCCGTGATAATATTTTGTAGATGTTTTAATAAATTGCATTGGTTCATCTCTCAATCCATCAGATGCACTTAACATTCCGCTTAACATCCGTCGCCGAGTGCATAATGTTATGCTAACAGTGTTGTGCGATTTTAGACCTCTAACATGGTTCGCTTTACAGCCGCTAACAGTCAAATTTTAGAAGTCGAAGCGGAAAGACGCGTTTTGCTCTCGTCCTCTTTTTGCCGGTTATTCGGAAAATCGCAATCGCAGTTATCGGAAGAATCTTAACAATCGCACTGATAATTATTTTGGCCAACATAAAGCACAAAGCGCATATCCAAAAGATACGAAAAAAAACCTCACGGATTACGATTTTGTTTATATGCCGTGGGTGCGTGCGTGTGCGTGTGAGTATCTGTGTGAGCAGCGCGTGTAAACAAAAAACGAGCGTTGTATCTTCGGCTTTGATAAGCTGAAAAGTTTGATAATAAGGCAGGAAAACACAAGTGCTACTACTGTTGAAAGGAAATCCAAACAAATCGCCGGCAAGTGGAATAGTGAAATTTAAGATACAACTGTAAATACAGCGGAATTATTGAAAAATATACACATAATATCGGCTGGCGATATCGCTGCAAATTAAAGCCGTGAAAAATTCGCTGAAAACAGCAACAACAACAACAACAGCAACAAGCAATTGTTGTGTGTAAAAATATACGACTAAGTTCTTATCGGTGTGCGATCGTTGTTGTTATTATTGTTCTATATGCTGGTTAGTTGAGTTGTTGTTATTTTGCCTTAGCCGGCGTCGATGTCTCGGTGTTAGTGTGTCGGTGTGTTTGTGTGCAAACGAGTTTGCAAAAAAAAATAAAGAAAAAAAAATATTGCAGTTACGGTGGCAAGTGTTGCAGAGATACACCACCAACAACAACAACGACAGCAGCAGCAGCAACAACGTCAGCGACAGCAACAACAAGTTAGCCAGGTATGATGGCCCAAAAGGAAAATGCAAGAAAATGCATACGAAAAGCCAAAGAAAAAACCGAAATTGAAAGCTCATTAACTGGGGAGTGCGAATTGCGGCTTTGATTTACCGCTATCCGGCAGACAAGTGCAATTTTTAGCACGTCCGTTGTGAATCACAAGCCAACCCACCTCCCCCCCCATCACCAGTTTACCCCCTATAATTTTCTATGAGTAACAGAAGTTAAAAACAGTATACAGAGAAAAAAAATAATAACAACTCCATTTGTACAATCTAAATATTTTTGTTTTTATCAGGGGGTTCCAATGTCAAACAATGATTTGAGTTAGTGACATTTTTAGATAAGTCATGAGTGCCAGTGCCGTAATAAATATTTAAATGACTAATAAATAAAAAGAAAATATACACAACAAAACCACAGTTTCGAATTGACAATAAGAAAACCTTGTTATTCTATAAATACTCTTATATTACTCTAGTAATTGTAAAATTTAATTTGATTCAAGTTACAAGTTACTTAAGTAGAATTTGATAAGAATTCTGAACTTGTAAAATAATTGAAAAATATTTTTTTGTTATAAATATATACATATGTCAACAAGAATCACATTTGGAATTCAGAGATATTGTCATATTTTTTTTATTTTATTTTTATTATTTTTGTTGACTAATCTTTCCAATGATTCACTCAAAACTTAAATTGTATTCTAAAGAATGCCCAAAATAATATGCAAAACATTTTTTTGATGTGCTTAAACACCCGCTTGTCATGCTTTTCTAAGAATATTTTTTTTGGCATACAATATGAGGACAAAAAACCCAAGTGATAAGAGTATTTATGACATTTTTCCCTCTGTGCAGTCACTTGCCTACACTCATCGCTCGCCACAGGCCAAAATCGAGACGTCTAATCGGTTCCGTTCCAGATTCTCGTACTGTGACTATTATTACAGCGAAATATTTTCAGCTGGCAGTGCATTTGCATCGATGGAATCACGTAGTCGGATTCTGATTCACGCTAAGTCTGGGATAGTATTCAATTGGAAATGCGGTTGACTCGCCGGCGCCGCCACCAATAATCGTATAAATATGAATAGCCAAAGGAAATACATATTTATGGCAATGTCGAGATGGGTGTGTATACGTATACTTGCTGGCGGATCGAACATTGCATTGCACTTGTTCTGCGATTAATTCGTATCGCTCTCAGCTCGACTTGCACCGGTTTCCCCTTACACTTTCAGTCGAATGTCAACACAAATAGAGGGGCACAGGTTGTCATACAGTGCCTGTTTCTTGGTACACTAAATATTTACTGATAGCTTCACTTTGTAATCCAATTACTCAGTGCTGAGTGTTGGAAGATTGGCATAATAAAAGGGGGGGGTCGAAGTCGAATAGAATGTGGTTAATACCCGCTAATGGTTTTCCAAATCTCTCTCGCTTGGGAAAAGACAATTCTGGGTGGACTTAGTCTTATTTATGGGTCCAGACCCAATTAAAGGGGATGCCACATGTGCTGGGGCGGCCGAAAATAAAGTGCCCCCGTCGAAATGTCGCCTTGATATATACGCGACGCGGTCTTTATTAATATTTATTTGGCTGTACGAAAATAAAATAGAGAACATAAATAACGCTTTGTTTATAAACACACAAGCAGTTTGCCAACTAAAAATAAATGACGATAGCGGCACAACAACACAAATGAAAGGGAATTTCTTCTTTTGTTTTATCTGCCTTCCAGCAGTGGTGCCTTCATCTCCTTCCGGCTCCGATTTGGAATTGCTTCTTGTTTTGCTGGTCAATTTGTGTAAAATGGGGAAACGGCAAGGGAAATCTCTTGACAGAATTTCCGAACTTCCTTTTGCGGTGGCATAACGTGCATATCCCTGCCAACAGGTACAAATCCGGAGCAACATTTTTGCCTTAATATGAATTAATTGCTGGCAACCGCAAAGAAGCCGCAGGAAAATGTCGAACTCAGCTCCTTCTCTAAAATTTAAGCCAAACTGTGGCTTTGCAGATAGAAAAAATCCATCACAAATTGAGTTTATAAATACAAATGCTTAGTAAATAAAATATTGACTTTTAAAAGCCTGTATTATTATGCATTTAATAATTTAACTCAAGTGCTAAAGATGATTTGAACTATAGTTTTCATTCATTGCTTAACACGGTATTAAAGTATTTTAAAGCATTTCAGTAAAATTAACTTAACTTATCCAAAACAAAGGTTTATATGTGCTAACAAAATTAATAATATTTATCAAGAAATGGTTCTCAATTTTAGAAACATTTTTTTTCACGTGTAACATGATTTAGGGGCTCGTTTGTTAAAGATGGTTTTAGAACTATGTTGCCTGTTTTCAATGTCAATCCGCGTGTAACCGCAACAGCAGAAAATGAAATGGGATTTTCTAATTGAGAATGCGTGTGCCTGCCATTCCTAAAGGAAAATTCCCACTCGAATTGGAATGTAAACAAAATACGATATAAAAATAGACAAGCCTGAACATTTCCCCTTTCATTTCGGTTGGTTTTGCTCTGGAGCAATTCACGTGTGAAATGAACAAAGTGTTGATTTGTTTCTGGGCTATATGCGACTACGAGTACGGGTTTATGTGGGTGAGTGAACGGCGGAGGATGGGAGATAATACGAGCAGGAAATAATACAATGTGAGAAGAGCTTGTCCCCTTTGCGTAGGAGCAGGCAAATCAAGTTCGGGGAATGAAATTCATTTCATTTCGGTTCGTGTTGCTGTTGCCATGTCATGGTGCACGGAAAGAAAATATGAGCTAAATGCATAGTTGGGAAATATATATATATATCAATTTTAATGGCTTTATTCTGATTTATTTAAATAAAATGTTAGTTTGCAACAGATTTTTGTTTACAAATACCTTTGTAAAAGACAACAATGTATTCCAAATATATTATACATTATTATATGATATGTGAGAAAGTAAGGATTACTTTTATAATAATCAACTAATAAAATATTGATCTGATGCTTAGAACTAAAATATCACTATGATTTTCTCTCTGTGTGGCTGTCCCCAAGCCGAAGAAATGGAAGATGAAAAGCATCTACAAAATCTCACAAATGCAGGCAAAGACCCGTTGGACTGCTGATGACGTTTTCACTGTCTATTGTTGTTGTTGCCGCTGATGTTGCTGCGGTGTCTGCCGATGTTGCTGCTGTTGCTATGGCTGTTGCTGTTGCTGCTGCTGCTGCTGTTGCTGCTGTCGGCTGAGTGAATCCAAGTCCAAGTCGCAAGTCTGGCTGCCCGTTAAGGTCGTTGCGATGCGGTTCTGTTTCTGTTTCTGATGTGCAGCAACAACAATCAGCGGCAGAAGCAGCAACAGCAACAGCAACAACAACCGCCATCAAGTTGTAGGGATCCCGCGCTTTCTTAGCGCTTAAAATTCCGTTTCGAAAATGGAAAACAAAACAAAAACAAACTGCTCGAGTCTCCGACTCCGACTCCAATTGCGACTCCAAACTCGCAGCCAAATCAACTTGAGCGGTGAAGTGGCCACGCAGCAGCAACATCAGCAACAGCAACAGCAACGGCAGCAGCAACATGAGGGAAAAGGAGGGAAAGAATAAAAATTAAAATTAAAACGCACGTAGGCAGAAGAAGAAGGAAGAATCGGGGGAAGTTAACGCTGTTGTCTGCCCTCGTGGCGCGTTAAGTTGTTGATTGAAGGGTATTTGAGTAAAGTATCTTTACGTGTGTCTGCCATGGATGTTGCTGCTGCCTCTGCTGCTGCTGCTGTTGCAATCATAAATGCAGCTGGGTGGAGCGGCCTTAGAGATTCTGGGGGAGAAAAGTGCGGCTTATGTGGGTTTAGGTTTTTCGGGCTTGTGGGCTGGGATTTTATTATTGCGGCCCCGCGGCAAACTTAATGAGCAGCTGTACAGAGCACGCTCCTTTATTTGATTTCACTTGAGCGATAAGGTCCGGAAACTGGGTTAGCAGTTAATTAGACCAAACAGCCATTCCGGCCAGACGCAAAACTCAAAGTTCAATATGAAAAGCGTATCGAGTTTCCAGCGAAATGCGAGCCATCCGCTCATTTCATGCTCAGCCAAACCCTTTGGACCAGGGCCAAAAACACACACACACACACACACACCAGACTGGACCCAAAACTGTACCCCAGACATAACTTTTTGTTTCGTTTCGCTTCTCGTCTCCTCTTCTATTTTCCTCTCCTTTTTTTTTATTTTATACATATAATACAAACTTGTAAAAACGTCAAGCGATAAAAATGTTCGATAATCAAAATGAAAACGACCGACAGGGGAGTGGGGCGGGGGCGATTGGATGGCCAACAATAAAACAGGAAGAGTTCAGAGCGCAGGACAAGTGTGTGAAAGGTTCGGGATGAAAATGCCTTCGAATGCTGCTGGAAAATCAATAAGCCATGCTTATTGTCAAAGACCAGGGAACAGGCCAACAAAGCGAATAGAACAGAAATGATATGGCAGACACACAGAGAGACACATGGGCCAGAGTCAAGAACATAAAAATGCCATTGACTGTGGCCCAACGTCTGTGATTGTAATAGGGGGCTACAGAGAGAGAAATTAAAAGGATTTTCTAATGAAGTAGAGAATGTTTACTGCATGAAAAACAATTGAGAAAACTTATTTTGTAAGGCAAAACTAATTTAGCTATTCTTTCTTATTAGAAACATTATACTGAATATGATTTCTTTTATACAATATATTAGACACTTTCTCGGATGTATATATAAAATGTATTTTCTTGTTAATTGCACATTTTAATACCGGGTTTCCTTTATGTTTTAACTTTAAAGGGTGGCGCAGTACTTTAAAATAGTAAAAGGCTTAGAACCATAGTTTTCCCTCTTGTGTAGAACTAAAAGAAATGATATAGTCTTCAGTCTGCTTTTTCTATCACCGGCGACACTCGTTTTCCCTTCACATAATTCCCCCACTGTCGACTGAGTAATGAAAGTTGCTTTTACCCTGGCCAACTCACAACTGCATTGCAAAGTTCTAATTTGGCCAGAAAAAGAGAGGGAAACCGCTGCCGCATGCAGCAACAAAAACAAAACTGTACCAAAAACAACATCGGAAAACAAAATACAAGAAAAACAACAAAAAATAAAAACCAAAAAGAAGTCAAAAGCGCACACGGACGGTCAACGAATTTGGGTTCGGCTTTGGTGGTTCTTTTTCAGTTAACACGAAAACGTTGTGAAAGAGCCCGGCTCAAACAACAACAAGAAACAGGTAGTAAAAATCGACAACAGACCGGGTTTACACGGGTATATGTACATACTAGTATATATATGTATCTATGTGCCGGTGTATTTGTGTGCAGGAAGAGTGAGGAGTGAGGGACAACGCTTAGAAATTAAAGAAAAACACAGGCTGAGGCTGAGTTGTGGCCGAAAACCCAGGTCCGTGGCTCAAAACCGAGCCCCTGTTGACTATCATAATAATAAAATTCAAGCCGAACACCGAACACCGTCGAATGCATGGCCAAACCGTGTGTATGAGTGTGTTTCAAATTGGGGTTACTGACCCAAAACTGTGTTTTGATAGTGAAAAAGTGTTGAGCTTGGCTAAAACGATCCGAAACCGATATGAAAATGTACACAGGCGAAAGAAGCTAGCTGGGAAAATGAACTTTGCATAGTTTCCAAAAAAAAAAAAAAATAGAGAGAATTAATAATTCTCGGGCTTGATGAGTCGGCGAAAATGATTGGGAAAAGGTGGATTACGAAAATGGAGCGAATTGCCTAAAACATAATTGGGGTTAAACAACAACCATCACAAATACGACTTTGATTAATGTTTATATTTGCACTTTTTTTTATTCATTTGCAGAAACCAACACACAACCAGCCACAAAAATATTGGGATGCATTCATAAATGAGTGGAGATAAATGAAATCCAAATAAAAGTGCTGAAATTAAATAAATGTTAAGTAAATAAGAAACCAAAAATACCACAATTAAATAACGAGCGTGTGCAAAGTGTAGATCAATACAAATCAGCTATATATTATCCATATATAGGCCAATATCCCAGCGCGAGTGCTAAAATGCTGTCCGTCGCAGCATCGGTCATCGTCGGGATGCATAAATCTCTCTGAAATCAAAATTAAACCAATCAAAATAACCAACTAGCGTATTAAATCAAATCAAAATTTCATCAAAACCCATGTCAAATTGTTGCCCCATCAACAGTTTGAGCAAATATTTTCTTCGGCCCAACCAAACATTAATAAACGGCCTCAAAACGGAGTCCATAGAGTTTTCCTACGCGGGACTCGAGGATTTCGAGATGGATATCCTACCGAGTGGCAACATCTTCAACGAGCTGGAGCGGATCTGCACCACCGGCTACTTCTCATCACAGCCGTCGATCGAGGATCAATGGCAACAGGTTGGTACTATTAAATATTTGAAAATATTATTTAAATAAAATTAAAACACTTAGTGAAAATAGAAGAAGAAACATGTATGATACAAGTCTTTTTCTATCCTAATGAAATAATTTGTATCAATCAAAATATTTAAAGTATAGGTAAAGCTATCTATAGGATGTTCAGCATTTTATTTCAAATAAAATAATGAAATTAATATCAAAATGAATATTTCTTTAGCAGAGAATATAAGATTGTTATTCTATACCTAAACGAATATTAAACCTTGTGATATAAATCATATTTATCCATTTAAATGTTTTGACTCGCTTAATATCGACTAAAATCTGAAACTTTTCTGAGAATAATATAGTGACCCCTACTTGATTTAAAATTATTTTTGAGCATTCCTATTTTGTTTCGCTGTGGCTTTTAGACCCATAAACATAAATCAAATTTCTTCCCCTTCCACTTTCCTCCACAATAATTCCTCCAGTTGACGTCACCCCATAGTTTGGTTCGTTATTTATTTAGCATTTAGGCATTTATCATAGACTCAACTGCTTAGACGAGTCAGCGGTATTTTATCGAAGTATTAACCGACTTTATGCGGACTTCCTTGGAGGCAATTGCGCAATCGTCGGAATATCGGGAATATTATGAATTCCCCGGCATGGAAATTTCTCTGTGTGCCTGAGATCTTCTGTTTGTTTCTCTGGCCAATAAAAAATGAATGAAAAGAAATCGTTTCAAGGTTCTCCACACTCTTGAGTTTACCTGAACGAGCGTGAGCTAAAATTAAATTGCTAAAAATTATAAACTCTTGATAAGCGAAATTGTGTGCGCAGTGCTAAGCATATATACGAAAACCGTATAGCTGATATATATGTGGGGTATATTATGGGGTATATGTGGGCAAAAAGCGAACAAGAGGAAGAGCCGAATAAATAGATGCCGGCCCATAAATAAGTAAAATTCGCCAGCAGTCAGCGACCAGCGTCGGTTATCATCTGAGGGCATGCATAATATATGTACTAAATACATAGCATATATACTTATACTTTTGCGAATTTTTTTGCACACTTAATATGCATATGTGTGTGTGTGTGTATGCGCTTCGCTTGTTTGTGGGGACTTTCTGTTCGCTGTTCTCTGTTTGGTTTGTATTTTATTTTATTTATTATTTTCTTTTGGCCTTTTTGGCCGCCTCTGATAAAACGAATCGAAGCCGCCGCCAGCTGATTGCAGACAGCTTTGTTGGCTGTTGTTTTCTTTTTCGTTTTATTATTGTTAAGAAATGCTTGGGGCATATTCTCGTTGGTCTGGTCTGTTATCAAAAACCTGACGCATAAGAAGATTGTGTTTCGGTTTTCGGTGTCGCTTTCAGTTTCTGTTTCAGTTTTTTGTTTGCCCATCAAACGCAAAGTCGTAATTCATTCGGCCAGGGAAATCTGCGATAAGGCAGAGGACTCTTCGCCAGAGGCTGCCCCACCAACCTGCCACCTTCTTACATTCCGTATCTCATATCTCATACAAATCCATCCCAACCTGGCTACCGTTTTGGCTTCACACCAATTTAAAGGCACTTTTCACACCTCCAGTTTATTTGTTTAGTGTACACACACACACACAGTTGGCTATTTGATTTATTTTATTCATTTGCTGCATGCCTCAATTGAAACCTCAACTAGTGCCAGTCGAAATTCCAGGAATGTGCCAAAAAATAGATTTGCCAAATCAAAATATTCTAATGTATTCCCCAGCAAATGTTAAACTAAAATTAGCAATTCGCTTCGATTTTCATCTGGCCTTCAACTTTAGCTGCTGGCCACACACACACTCGTTGAAAATATCTTAAGTCAAATTTGGTTTAAGTGTTATTACCGCAAAGAGCCAAAAAACGAAAAAAAAAAAAAAAACTAATCTTATCGTCTGCTAAATTTGGAGCTGTGTTGTACACGAATTTCACCGAATTTAAATTCCATTCGCTGTGTTTGCACCACACGGCAATTAAGCCAAAGTTCCTGTTCAAATTGGGCTCTCAGTCTGAGTTCGGAATTCTCCGTCTGAATTGGGAGTCGCAGTTGAAGACGCAATGCACTCGTTTCATTTGCACAACTTAAAAACTTTTAATTGAACTCGAGTACACATTTTTGCATAACTTTTCGTCGGGAGTTGACGTTTTTTGGTTTTTGCTTCTCGCCGAGTTGGAGTGCTTTCGAATATACCCTGAAAAGACTGGCATCCTTTTACTAAGAAAGCTCTTAAATGCGATTGAATTTTATTATCCACAACTTGGTCTTGTTATTTTACGATGGGCTGTTAACCTCAAATATCTTTTATTACGACTATATTTTATTATTTCAAAGCATTATTAAGGTTAATGTTTTTTTGTTAGAGCAGTGAAATCTCTTAATAAATACGAAGAATTCATAGAAAAGTTGTAAAAATGCGCTTGAAACGAATTCCTATCGATATTAAAAACATAATTTTATTTATTTTATGTTTGATTATTATATATTTCACTTATTTTCCGGTGAGAGCATTTCCGAATGCGTTTGGACTTTTCTCGATTCATTTAAGCGTTTTATTTCTTCGGTTAAATTTGATTCGGGGTTAAAAACTTTAAATTGCAGCATTTAATAAAAGTTTCGACGGGAGAAAGGAGCGGGAATTTGTACTGGAACTTTCTCCATCCCCCCTCCCCTTTCTCCAGCCCCTCGCCCCCCTCATTGTATCTGTAGCTGTTTGGTGCCCTTTGTAATTAGAACTTGCGGATGTTTTGTTTATTTCCGTTGACTTCCGCCTGCTTCCGATGCGGCGGCTGCGTTTTGCTGTTGCTTATTGTTTTATTGTAATTGTTATGGAGGGGCTGTTATGTTATGCTTATAATGCGTAATACGGTTCGTCACTCATTCAGTCAGTCAGTCATTCAGTCAGTTTGTCAGTCGGTCGAACACTTGTGTCTTCTCGTTTGAACAGCTGCTGGATCACAATTGTTGCTGATGGCAGTGCCAAAAACAAACAAGACGCCGCATCGCATCTCCATATGTATTATTTATGAATTTACATACGTATTACGTATCCGTATCTGTATCTCTATATGTATCTGTATCTATTTCTTGAGCTCTCCGGGGCTGTTTATCTAAGCTGTGAAATTATGCTGCACACTCAAAACAATTTGAAAGCGCAGAGAAAGCAGAAATATGCTTACAAAAATAAATACAAAAAAGGAAGGGAATGGTATTTGGTTTTTACTCTTAATTTATTTCATATGCTGCAGATTGATTTCGATTCGGCCCCGGAATGTTATTCTTTCATTTCTGTATAAACACCAGAACAAAAACGCCGGAATGGATTTTCATTTGGTTGCCCAGCGTGTGAAAACTAGATGGAGGAGGGGAACGGAGGAGAGGGGGAATGCTATTCAACTCTGCCAATCTATTTTTGATTAATTTCATTTATAGAATTTGGCGATTTGCATGTTGTTATAGAATATTGGTTTTAATTCAAGCGTCTAAGCGGATTCGATTGGATTTTCGCTTAGTTATCAATGTTCATTGATGTGGCTTTATCGCAATGCCACATTTGCCACATTTTGTTGCGCTTACCCAACTGCGGTGGCCATTTAATGTATTTAAATTATTTCAAATTAAGCCGCTTTTGTATGCAAAATAAAATGAGTTTATGTATTACATTATTTCATTTCCATTTGTTTCGGTAAGGGTGAGAAATAGAAATCCCACACAAGTGCCGAAATCAGCGACGACAACCTCTTACCGCCGCGCAGACAATATGCAATCAGCAGTTAACATTTAGCACACGCAAAAACGTAACAAAACCCAAAATGGCACGTACACACACACACACACACGCACAACCGTGCAAAAAAAATTGGCAAAAAATGAGCGAATGGCGAAAACGTAAAAGAAATGCCCCCGAAAACGATGCTGCCATTGGGAAATTCATGAAGACAGATGCACAAACACACATAGACTTACAACTAATAAGCCAAAGGCAGTGTGACACACTCACACACACCCACTTCATTGAGTGCACTGACAGAAAATATTACCAATCAATAAACAGTCTGGAAAAGGTGTTCAGTCCTTAAGTCGTAGAAATTTGATTTGAATACTATAAAAAATATGGGACACTTACAAATTTTACAATCTTAGGTTTCTTTTGTTAAACAAATTTAGTTGCTGATTATATATATTTTATAAACAACTCGAGTATCTGTTTATTTTAATTTACAAACAATTTTTTTAAATTAAATATTTGCCTATAGAACTTGTTGGAACATACAAAATTCTTATTTAATTGATTATTTTGTGAAATGACATTTTTTTAGACTCTTTGTAAATTAACTACATGATTTCTTTATCTAAAATTGTTTAAGAATATATAAAAACATTAAGAAATCGATTTTATAGCAATATTTATGGCATTTCGTTCAGTGTATCACGCAGATCTTATTCTGGCCGGGAAGAGAAGAACAGTTATTTTAGCAGAGCCAGCAAAAAAAGAGCCGAAAGAACCAAGAGAAGGAAGTGGGAGATTTGGGGATGAGGAAATCCGAAATACGTGCAATTGCTGAAAATATGCTCGACGTGAGGGGCAAGGCAAACGTGCGGGCCAAGCGTTTGTGGGCCTTAAATACTTGCCACCATGCGGTACTCCCCCCGACTCCCCTTCCCCTTCGTCACAAAATCCAGCTAAGCAGCAGCTACCACGTTTGCTACTCCTATTACCCTCAATCATTTATCATCTGGGCTGCAATTAATCATCAAATGCGCGCTCCCGCACTCGCACTCGCACCCACCCCAAAAAGTCCTTTTATAGTTTTTGTGGGCTGCCCTCTGGATTTATGCTTATAATGTGGAATGCCAGTGTATGTTTATCTGGCCACCGGGGTTTGGATCGGGGATCGGGGAGTGTGCGTCTGGCTACAATAGATGCTCCTACTCGTATTCGTATTCGTAGTCGCATTCGTATTCGTATGTGCCGCACATAGCTC